TAGGGAAAAAGCAGCTCTGTGGTGCATGTGGCAAGGGACAGAGTGAAAATCAAACGCTGCCTTTGTTCTCTAAACATCCTTAGATTCATTGTAAGAAATAAAAGCCGAAACACATGAGAGTTCGTGTTTTTAAGGCTCCTCTGCACTGGAGTGGTCCTTCCAATTCTTACATCACTTTAAGACATTTTTCCAGAGAAATCATCACTTGTATTTACAGTCTGCGTTTTGCATTCGTAGCTCAGTTCTTACCCCGTTCCCCTTCGTGCTCCTGATTCCTTTCTGCATAAAACTAACCTACCTAGAAGTACTTAAAAAACCCCAAACCCCACATTGTGTGAGGTTTGTTTCTGGGTGTAGTGTCACTGGAAAGTCCTTTCGGCGTGTGGGAGGTGTGTAAATGTCATTGTGGGTTTAGTGTAGTCTAACAGCTTAAGAAGGAGGAGGTAGTAAAGTTATTTGAACTGGGTTTTTTTTTTATAGAAGCTTTTGTTGAAAGAAAATGAAGTTTCTTGTTTGCTCAATCTGTTTATTTACTGAGAAGTTGCAAGCAGCTTGCGCTGTTTAATTAGGTTCAGTTCTGGATGCTGAGGACAGGGATGTGGAAAGGGGATTGCTCCAAAGTGCATCAGTGTGTTTTATGTCTCAAATTTTTCAACAGTTGCACATTGTTAATTTATCATTTGTTGTTAAATTTGGGCATCTAATCTGTGGTAATATATGAAAATGGGCAGTTTAGTGAAATTGCCTCTTAAATCCTGCTCTGGAAGAAGATACTTGAATGTAACACTGCACAGCAATATACTCTGTGAATGAACAGAATTGGAGTTGGTATGTGTTTAATTTAATAGGTATTTTAGGAGAACAGAAACCAAATTGCTTAGCCCAGTCTGTGAAACTGAGTAGATGTCAAATTGGCCAGCATTTATGCTCCTGTTGAATTTTGCTGTCATGGACCTACTTGTTGAATTGCATCCTAAAATAATGGGGTTTGCTCTTCCAAACAGCACTGCTTTGGGGGCAGTGCCAGATCAGAGTGAACCTCAGGAAATTTGGGGACAACACATAAACTGCCCTCGTTAGAAAGGGTCACATTTGCCTGTATTCCTTTCCAGATGTTCACCTGCTTACCTGGGGATCTTTCTCTGGTCATGTTGACCTGTCTCTGATCTGATGGGTAATCTATAAGATACTGTGGCTCTTAACTGCTAAACGAGGTTAGGTGATACATGTAAGTTATGCACAAAGTCTGACATTCTGTAAAGCAGTGGCTCACGTATTTGTGTTTTATTTTTCAGCTGTACTTTCAGGTTTCCCAGCACAAACATCAAGATAACATTCACAGCTCTGTCCAATGAAAAGAGAGAAAAACAGGAGGCCCCGGAGTCCCCAGTGAAGCCTGTGCAACCCCAGATCTCTCCCTTAACAATAAACATTCCAGACAACATGGCTCACCTGATCAGCCCTCTCCCTTCTCCCACGGGAACTATCAGGTATTTAAACCCTGCAGGTGGGATGCAGAGCCCTGTGCAGCTACAGGCTCAGCACAGCTTTCTCCTTCACCCTTTGGAGGGCAGAGTTTGGTTGAGGCTCAGCGTTACCTGCCTCGGAGAAAACACCTTTCTGCTAACTAATGGGAGTTGCATGAGCAGTCTGTAGTGTTCTAACTGCACATGTGCAGCGTGTGCAGCCTGCCCAGCAGCCTGGCAGTCTGACACCATTCCAGCTCCTTTAGCTTGCTTTGGCCTCTTGCATGCTTATGGCAGCACTTAGAATGAGAGAAGTTGAAGTTACATCATTTTTAAACATTCTGATTTGCCACTGTCTCCCTGAAATTCATCCTGAGAAACAGTGGTGGTTTGGGTTATCATTAGTGTGGGAAATAGATTGATCTCTTCCTGCAGGAGGTTTGTTATTGATTAATCACTGGTGGAAGCAAACAGACCTTTTGCTTAAGCTGCAGGTGAGGTGCAGAGCTCAGTGCTGAGATGGCTGTGAGAGGGTAACCTACTGTAGCCAGCAGCAGGACAAGAGGGCACAGACTCAAGCTCTGCCAGGGGAGGGTTAGGTTAGATATTAGAGATTTTTTATGGTGAGAGTGCTCAGGCATTGGAATGTGCTGCCCAGGGAGGTGGTGGATTCACCATCCCTGGAGGTTTTCAAGCTGAGACTGGATGTGGCACTCAGTGCCATGGTCTAGTGACCACGGTAGGGTTGGACTCAATGATCTTGGAGATCTTTTCCAACCTGGTTGATTCTATGGTTCTATGATAATCCAAGGATTTTCCTTGCCCTGCTGCTCCACTTGGTAATTGTAGCCATTGTCCCACCTGTTCCTTGGAACCAAACTCAATTAAACACAAGTGACCTGTCCTCACAAACTGCTGAAATCAGTTCAGATAGAAGTTTTTTAATTTTGCAAAAGTTCAGGAGCAAGACTTAGAACTTCCAGTGCCTTGAAGTGATTCACAGTCACCTATGTGCTCTGGAAAGCTTTCTTATCCCCTCTCACTTTTGCATCTTCACTTGGGCAAAGCACTGTTCATGCTTGGTTCTTTTAAAATGTGCATCTTGTTAATGAGATTTGGATGTAAAGATAATTGGCTGTTTCCACGCCTGCCAAGATCTTGGTCTCAGTATTGGAGTGTTTGATGGCATCTGGATAAACGATGGAAGCACAGAGAAAAGAGATCCAGACTTGACTGTGTAACAGGTTTGCTTTCTTATACAAACTCAGAGTAAACACATCTTGCCCAAGAAATGACAGAGCAGCTCACAAATATTCCAGATAACATCCCATTTATCACCACAGTCTTTGCCTCACTGTGAGTTTTGTAATTCTCTCCAGGGCTTTCGTGCACCTGTTGAGTAGTTTATTACAGGAAAAAAAAAAGAGATGACAGTTTAGAGTCTATTTTGAGAGCAAAGCTTGACAGTTTCTCTGCAAATCATCCTGTTTTGTAGAAGACTTGTAAACTTGCTTTGATTATACCATATGTGTCGCTTTGTCAATACATGCTAAAGTGAGCAGAGCAGAGGGATGTTGTCAGCTGATAGGGGAAAACACAGAGCAGCAGTGACCTATATTTAAAAAAATAAATTAGCTACACATTTGGGCTCTAATCAAGGACTCTTCTGTACGACATCTCCAAAATTCACTCTCCCTCCTTGAGTAGCTCTATCACTGGGAGAAAATTGTTGGTGGATTTCTTCCGATGTGAAGTGTGGAGAGTAATTTTTACACACATATATATTGCCCCATCTGCAGTGTTTGCCTCTGTCCCTGCACAAAAAGGGACAGGTATCAAGGAACTTCTTGAGGGGTCAGGCAGACAAACCTGAACAGATGTAGAATTGTTAAATCTTTAGTGTCTGAATCTGAGTAACATTGTCTAGAGTGATTTGTTATTGATGTTTTGAACTACAGATTCAAGTCAGGTTAAAGATTGCCTTTGGAGCTAAGGCTGATTCTGGGACACAGCAGGCTCTGCCATTGGGATTTCTAGTTCTGTGGAGTTTCTGAGGGCTGCAGGATGAATTGCTGAGAGTGTGTCCTTGTAGAGAGCTGCCAACATTTATTCTGGGGAAAGGGATGGACATCCCCTGCTGACTGTCTTTTTCCTCCTGGCTAAATGGAAACTGTAGCAGAAAACCAGCTTCATGCAGCTGCAGTTCCTGTGGGCTGTGCAGGGCAGGGGAACTGATGGAAAGATGCCCCAGTGGAATTATATACAATTTTATCTGTATTTTTCTGTGATGGATAGCAAAATGGCAAGTATTAAGAGCCACTCGTGTGTGTGTTTGGCACCATCTCTTGCATTCTAACAGTGTATCTGCTCTGTTGGCCTAACACTGCATTAAATCAGCTGAGTCAGTGCTGATGCACCCCATTTACAGCTAAGTTTCTGATTTTTATACATGTATGTGTCTGTAAGGATGTGCATATACCTGGAAACATTTAATACTGATGTAGATTGGAATGAGAACCAGACATTTTTTTTTTTCCTCCCTGCTTGCTATATTTTCTCAAATGTGCAGGAAACACTGCACAGGAGAGATGATTTTTTTTTTTGAGCAGACTGAACCCAAGCATATGGCAGAAACTCCATGCAAGATGTGTGTCTTGTTTCCAAGGAGTGCCTGAAAATTTGTGGCAGCTTATGTAGTGAAAGTGGACTTCTCTGTTGGCAAATCTTACACAAACACAGCGCAGCCTAATAAATCAGTTGATCCTTGTTCTTTTGAGGAGGAAAAAGCCTGAGCTGCATCTGACAGGTTTCTTCCTGCAGTGATTCTAACTGCCATGGATGAGTTAGGAAGGCTTGGAAGGTGGGTTTGCTTTGCCCTGGCACACCCTTAGCTGCAGCCTCAGAGCTCTGTAGTGGCTTTTCTGCACTAAGAGCTTTTTGATGAGACATAATGTGGTGATATACTGTATAACAAAATAGTAGGATCTTCTTTTTATGCTCTACAGTGCTGCAAATTCCTGCCCATCGAGCCCCCGCGGCGCAGGCTCCTCAGGGTACAGAATGAGCCGTGGAATAGCATCTGACCTACATTTGATGGCTGACAATTCACAGTCAGAAAACGACAAGGAAGCATCGGGGGGAGATAGCCCAAAGGTAAACATGGCTTGAAATCAATCCCAGGAATTACACCTGAAGTGAACGTAAAGCTCTGGGATATTTAGTTTGATAAAGGGTATGCACTGGGTTGTAATTTAACGTGACAGACTTGAAAAAGAATGCGTGGGGTTTTGTGATCAGATGTGAGGGTGATTGATTGATTGATGGATTGATCTCGCTCCGCGTTGGGGAAAGGCCTGTGTGCAGTCTCAGTTATGGATCTCTTCACAGGCTGTTGCAAATTCTTTGCTGTTACATGTGTCTCCAGAATTTATGCTATCTTAAAATGGCTAATCAGAACAACAATTTTGTCTTAGTTTCTTTTCTGCCTCAGGATGTCAAGGTGAGACACTGTCCCAGGTTGCCCAGGGAGGCTGTGGCTGCCCCAACCCTGGCAGTGTTCACAGCCAGGTTGGATGAGCCTTGAGCAGCCTGCTCTGGTGGGAGGTGTCCCTGCCCAGGGCAGGGGGTTGGCACTGGATGGTCTCCAAGCTCCATTCCAACCCCTAAAATTCTGTGCTTCTCTGATTTTGATCATCCCAAAGTGCCCTAAGTCTCGTTAACTCTGTTTTATGACTTCTGATGTAGAAAGGAGTGTGATTATCTGTCAAGTGTGATTATCTGTCAAGTGTACTGACATAGACTTTCCTTGTTCTTGTACAGGACGACTCTAAGCCTCCCTACTCCTATGCACAGCTAATAGTCCAAGCAATTACAATGGCCCCGGATAAGCAGCTTACACTAAATGGAATTTATACGCACATAACTAAAAACTATCCCTACTACAGGACAGCAGACAAGGGCTGGCAGGTAATTTGGATTTCTGGAATAGTTTGTTTACTTGTGAGCAATACTGGCAGCTCTAAACGGTCATGAGAAGTCAATCGATGAGCCTCAAAGCCCTTCAGAAATAGATGTTTGTCAATGGGTGTGTTGTCATTCTTCTGATTGTAAGTTCTCCAACAAAGTGGCAGTTGACATTAGTCTGTATTTGAAACATTGCTTTAGCCATGGAATGGTGTTCTCAAATCCTCTGGGAGGGATGCAGGCAGATTTTTGGGGAAGGAGAGTGCCATTGGCACTCAGTCCCATATGCTCTCTAGGAATGGTGTTGTGTTCTGTAACTTACAGTTGTGTCAACATCCATATTGCTGTCCAGAGATAAAGTGTTACGAGTTCAGTTCTGTTTGAAAACAGTGATGCTGACCATGCAATGGGTGAAGGAACAAGTGTGTTATCTGTGGTTACCTGGCACTGGGATGTGCCCTGTTTTACTGGTGAACTTCCCCATTTCTCCACTGAGCTAGTCCAAACTCTCCAGCTCCACAGAATTAATTTCTGCTTTCTTTTCACTTCTAAAAGACCAACCTTAGCATTTGCCAGGATGACTGAGTAGAAATCAGTCTGGCAGAGTCTTCCCAGACACATGTGAAGGTTCAGTGCCTTTGGTGCTGCTCTGAGTGTCTCAGAGGCCAAGGAGCTCAGTTAGCAGGTCCTGCCCATTTGCCCCTGTAACACTCTGCCTGCACAGTCCATCCTGGGGGTCACTTTCACTGGTTGCTGCTCACTCTGCAGCAGAGTCATGTCTGGGGTTATTTTCAGGGAGGTAAAATGTGGAGACACTGGGGGAAGGAAGGAAGTGTTCCCTCTGGCTGTACAAGTGGAAGACTAAGGCATACACACCTTTGCAGAGAGAGAGAGATTTTAACACACTAATCACACACTTATTTGTTATAAGGCCTGCATGAAAGTTGGATCACTTCCCCAAGGCTAGCAGGGAATGTAGCCATTCCTGGCTGTTTGCTAAGGGTTTGGCTAGTCAAGGATTTGGCTGTTGCTGTGGCTGGGAAGTCTCTTTTGTTTCCCTTTCCCACATAACAGTGCAGTCTCGTGGCTGCAGTCATGTGAATAGATCTGTTTTAGCAACAAGACTCTTGTTTATAAAATGTTGTTGTGCATTTTGCTTCCTATTCTGCAATACCTTGAGCATCTGTGTATGTGATGCTGCTTTACAGGAGCATCATGGAACCCAGTTCTGCCTTGGAACAGGATGTGTAGTTAGGTGTGTAATGCTCCGTGAAGCCAAGGAGATGGACACAGCAGGGTTAGCACGATCTGGAATAATGAATTAGCACCTATTCACAGGAGCAATTGGAAAAGCTGAAAATCAGCTGATGTTCAGTCACTGCTGTGGCACTGCCAGGTGTACCCTGTGTGTGAACAGCTCTGCAAGCTGCTGCCCATCATCTAGGGGGACTTAGGAGGTTTGAAGTCATATTTGAGGCTGTATATGCACATACTATCCAAAACATAGAGTAGCCACACATGAACAGCGTCCCAGTGCTGTGCAGTAATAAATAGCACTGAGGTGTTTATATCCTTTATCATCCAAAGCACTTGAAAACTCCTCTCTGTGAACTTATTTGAGTAGGTACTTTTGGATCTACTCCTTTATTCTAGCATATGGAGAAATAAATACAACTTATAAACATGTCCTTGGCATCTTTCTAGTTATGTTTCAATTTTTGGCAGGGAAAACCATCTCTGGTTTCATCAGTTTGCTTTTAAGAAACCATACATGGTTATCTTTGCCTTAGGTTTTCCAAACTTGCCATCAGGGTCACGAACTCAGCCAATTGAGCAAGATTTACATTGGGTTTTGCAAATTTTTGAGAGCTTTTGTTAACATAAAGCTTTTTCTCCACGTACCCCGTTCCCTCAGAAGTATTTCAGCCTGAACTCTTAGCATCAGTTCCTTCTTGGTCAGTGGTAATCCCGAGGGAGATTTGGGGGTTTATTTGTCATAAAATAAAACCATGAAATGCAGAACATGCTGTGAGCAAAGCCAAGCACAGGCAGAGCCACTTGAGGGTGTCAGCAGGTCTGTCCCTGGCTCTGATCAGAGGGCTCTGTGTGTGTGTGTGTGTGTTTGTA